CTCTCACTCTGAAAGAACAATGCATTACTGTGGTCCTTCTTTCCTTCCTTCTTTCTCTCTTAGCTCCCACATATGAGTGAGCACATGTGGTATTTATCCCTCTGTACTTTGCTTGTTTCGCTCAACATAAGTTTCTACAGGTTCATCCATGTTGTTGCAAATAGGAGAATTTCATTCTTTTTTATGGCAGAGTAGTATTCCATGGTGTATATATACCACAGTTTCCTTATCCAGTCATCCATTGATGGACATTTAGGTTGGTTCCACATCTTGGCTATTTTAAACAGAGCTGCGATAAACATGGGAGTGCAGGTATCTCTGACATGATGATTTCTGTTGGCCATTTGTATGTCTCCCTTTGAAAAATGTCTATTCAACTCCTTTGCCCATTTTTTAATTGGGTCATTTATTTTTTATTGTATAATTGCTTGAGTTCTGTGTATATTCAGGATATTAGTCCCTTATCCATCTTGTAGTATTACAATACAAAGGTGTTTCCAAACAAGTACCTATAATTACTTCATAGCCTGGAAGTAGTTCCCAAACCTGGCTGTTTGTCAGATTCCTGGGTCCCATTCCAGACCTACTGAATCAAATCATACCACATACACAGAAACTTATTACATCTATATAAGACCAAACTGAATCCATATCTTCCGGATATGTAGGCCAATTTATGATTATATTACTTGGTTAGTTTGGCTGTATTAATAGTCAGTGTTACTTATCACATTATCACTCTTCGTGTCTTAGTCTGATATGGGAGCCGTCATATGTATAATGCTAAGTAACATCACTGATGTAAATGGTAAGGTGTTTTCAAAGTGGTGTTAAAGCTTTCAGTAACCTATTTCACTTGACAACATAAAATTATACCCTTGCCCAAAACTTATCTAGGAATGAAATTTAGAACTAAAAAAAAAATTCTTTGTGGTATAAATAGAACTCTTTTTTTTTTTTTTTTTTTTCTGATTCAATAGTGCCTCCAAGCTTTGGATTTCCTGCACTCAAACCAAGTGATCCATAGAGACATAAAGAGTGACAACATTCTCCTTGGGATGGACGGCTCTGTTAAATTGAGTAGGTATTTTTGTTTAGATGGTGTTTGAGAGAGAATCAGGGAATTTCTGCTCTTTTACTGTCTGTCTTGAGAAGATAACAGCAACTAAACGTGATTGATTTGAAAACAATTAGAGCCCAGTCTGAAGTAAGGAATTTCTCTAACACTGTGTTCCTGTAGATGGTGATTTGTTGGATTCAACATTTTTTCCCAGATTTTTTAGATTTAATATTTCAGAATTTCTAGTGACTTCTAGAATGGATGGATTACAAATCCCTAATGTGCAAACTGAATGATTCTGCAAGTTTGAAGGAACAGTAATGGGGAAGGAACTAGATTGGAGTCTAGTAAAAATGACATCACATTAGTCACTTATTTCAGACCCTCTTAAAATCAGGACCAACTGAGAGATCAGGTAACAAAAGGACATGAGCTAGACAATGTGGAATCTCAGTGCCTAACAAAGGAAGGTACAGCCATGTCTGAAAGCGACCTATTGTAAAAGGAAAATAATTTGGGTACATTTTAACTAACTTTTCTTCTGTGCAGCTGATTTTGGGTTCTGTGCCCAGATCACTCCTGAGCAAAGTAAACGAAGTACTATGGTGGGAACTCCCTACTGGATGGCACCTGAGGTGGTGACTCGAAAAGCTTATGGTCCGAAAGTTGATATCTGGTCTCTGGGAATTATGGCAATTGAAATGGTGGAAGGTGAACCCCCTTACCTTAATGAAAATCCACTCAGGGTAAGTCAGAAGAGAACTCAGGTGCTTCGTTCCCAGGAAAGGGGAAAGACTAAATGTCATCTCTTGTTTCCACCTAAAGTGACCAGATGAGCTCTTTCTCTTTCCTGTGACAAGTAACACAGAAACACCAAGTTATAATTTTCAAAACTACTGTGAATTTTTTAAAGTTTATTTTACAATGTCTCAACAGTTTATTTTAAAATGCTTTGATATCAGTATTTCTAGTGATGAGGGTATTTTAAATTCTTCAGTATAACTTTCTAATGTAGAAAAGGTAAGTTTTTTGTTTTTGTTTTTTTTTTAAGCTAGACGTGGGAAGAAAAGCATTTTTATCACATGCCATGGTTAAATGATCTATCTAGCAAACACTTGACACTTGCTTTATAATTACTTTAACAAAGTAAATAAATGCCTTTCTGGAACAGCTTTAATTTTTTTTTTAAATTGGATTTTCTTTTATTATCAGTAACGATTTATTGAGCAACAATAGCTAGGTGGGTATTGAATGGAACACAGAGATAGACACAGCCCCAGACTGGTGAAATCACAAACTTAATTAGACTGTCAAGTAGAAAATGAATGGAAATAGTTTGGGTTGGGTAACTCAGTTTGATCCTCACATGATCTGGTTACCTCTGCAAAGAGAACAGCTCCATTTCATACCCTGACCCTATCATCTTTAATCAGAGATGTGCTGTTGATCATGAGGGGAAAAGGCAGAGAGATATGAAAAAAATGCTTGCTCAGTGCAGAAGTGAGCCAGTTGCTATTTTGTTGTATATAGCCTAAGGGAGAGCCGCAAGCTGTGTTTTGTATCTACAAGTATAATCACATTTTGAAAAAAGGAAATATGCATAGATTCAAATTTTGCTCTCAAAACTCATGCACAGCTCTTAGTGCCAAAGGCTTCTTGCATATTGCCTGTATCATTACCACTGAGTCTGAAATTGAATTTACCTTTGGTATACAAAAAACAGTATCTTTAGTAAGCAGTTAAGTGTTTTTGCATTAAGCTTATAAAATCCATATTCAAGCCAAATATACGTGGCTTTCTATACATGTCTTTACAAACTAATTGTCTAGGTGGTTTTGCAGTTGAACACTTTGTGATTGGGAGCTGCGTTCCCCCATGTATGGCAAGGGGGACAGCCTCCTCCTGTCCCCCTCCCAATTCTTCTTTGGTACTTGGCCTCTTGTCCTAGGCCCTGCACTGATTAGAAAACAACAGATATGAGTGAGTGCCCTAATGAATGCTATGGGCTATTGCTCTGGTCTCATGAAACAATCTGGAAGTGAGATGTGCACGTTGATTAGCTGCCCGCAGGGTTGAGTGGAAAAGAAGGGGCATTTTCCCGCCATTTGTGGGTTAGCCCTCCGTAAATTTAATCAAGTCCACCCCTGACCTATGGACCAGTGCATCAGGATAATTACACAGGTTTTTCCTTATTGTTTAACCACCTTCGCCCATTAAGAAACAGCCCTGAAAGAACACATTAGGCCTCTTGTTTCCATGGATTTCCTCCTCTAAGTCTTCAGAGTTTGGAAGCACTAAATGGATTATGGCTATTTTGTTTTCTGCCTTCTAATGAGTAATTTACAACCTGCAAAATTTAAGGATTAAATAAGTGACTCTGTAAAGAAACTGGTCTCAGTAATGCATTTATTACCTTCTTTAGTTTCCCAATTACAACTGATCACACTTTAGCTAGGCTGCTAATTGTTAGAAAAAAGGAAACAAGTTTTAATCTTTATAGGCATCTTCTAACCTGGAATTAGAACTCATAATTAACAGCTTGTCTCTTAGAATCCGTAGCCTTATATCTAAACAAGTACTTGCAGATTAACAAACCACAAGATTCAGGAGGCCTACATTAAGACCAATTCAAAAGACCATCTAGTTGAATTCCACTGATAAGGATTCACTCCAACTTTGCTCATTACTCTCTGTGTATGATCAACTTCCAGTTAATCGTCAGGTACATATTCTGACCCTCTCTCTCCTAGGCACCAGGAGTGCTGTCCTCATGTTCTCTTAAAGAAAACACCATGTCTCAAGCTATTTGCTGTTATTTGGGATTTGAAAATTGTCACTGAAACCATGGCAAGATCAGAGAGAAAAAGATATAACGAGTCTGTAGGGAGCCTACATTTTCTTGGATCCTGCTAGCCAGGCCATGTGTGGGGAAATAGAAAATCATTACAGCTTTAGGAGAGGTATTAAAAAGTACTAGATCAGTCCTTCTCTCTTTAAAATCTTTCCAGTACTACCAGTCGTCCATCATTTTAGGCCTTGAGGCAGAAAAAAAGTGGAAGAAAGAAAGTGAAATAAGTGGAAGGAAGACAGAGGGGTAGAGGGTAGTTTGCTGATGTGAAAAAAAAATTGGTCCAGTAGTCAGGCAGATCTGGGTGTGTCCTGGCTTCACAACCTACAAGTTCTGCCCTTCTGCAAGGCACTTAAAATCTTTCTAAGTCTGCTTCCTATCTGTAAAATGGGGAAAATACCTATCTTGCAGAGTTAGAGTGAAAACTAAATAATGTATGTAAATCACCTAGCACAGTGTCTAGCTCTAAAAAATTTATATATGAATAGAAAAAAAAAAAGGATGCTTAGAGTGCTTTTTACCCACTCATGAAGGGAAATTGGAATCACCACTCCCCCAAGAACCTCCCCTGCTCTCTGGAGGCACTCACACCTTTTCCAAGACTAGAATGTTCTGCACAGTTCATTTCAGTTACCATGAACAGGTAACGCTGAACAGGAGAGGTTTGAGGTGAAATCTGGGGCTATACATTTCAAGGTTGTTTGCATTTCACTGTGGCTTTTTTGCCTTTGTTGCATCAGTTCCAACTGAGCAAACCCTCTGTGAATATTGCCTATTAACATATTGTTGTTGCGAGGAGTTAGCTACTTTTTCCCCCTAGTTATAAAGTGGTTGGGATTTTTAAAATGTAAATTGCTCTGTACTAATTGACCTAATTTGCTCATAAAATGACTTTTAAAGGTCAGAGAGTTATTAACTGTACTGATGTTATGAGGTTGGTACCCTTCCAGAGACACAGAGGAGACAAACTTCTTACCGTCCCCCACTGCCTGAAGTCTTTACACTCAAAATAATTGGCCTTGGACATGTTGTTCTGTGACCCATGGACATTTTTAATGGAGCCCACAGCAATAGAGTGTCTTGTTTCTTCTATTTGCCAAAGTGACTGGAGTTAAAATCGAACTTTTCCTGTGGTTGTGCATATCAAATGTTGGTGCTGATCGCCTCAAGTTTTTTATTAATTGAAGATAGATTTTTTAAAGCCTGTGATTATGACGACCTGATTCTAAATAAAGAGGCACAGTCATTTCAAAACAAAACTTCAGTTTATTTTGTTTCTTAGCTCCATGAGAGTGCCTCTTCATTAACTTTGCATTCACATATAATGGGGCCAATTCTTATCAACATGTTTTGATGGAATTTGGTATTTGTAAAATGTCTCAGTGACATCCACTTGAAGTCCCTACTAGACCCTTTGTAACCCTTTTTTTTAATGTGTAATTTTCCAGACTTTTATCCAAGTTGAAGTGAACTCTGTGTTCTCTTTCTACTCTTGGTTTAAGCATTTATGAAGCTGTATCAAACATTGGACCACTGGAAGACAGTTATTGGTATCAATCAATATGCAATCAGTACATGGCATAGTATGAGAACCACAGATCCTATTCCAGTGCTTCTCCTCCTTGAGTGCACATTGGAATCATCTCCACAGATGATTACAGTGGTACCAGATTCCCATCCCCAGGGAAAAATGGTAACTGGGACTAGACCCAATACAAACTCTGTGATAAGCCCTTTGTAGAACACTGTCCAGACTGAAAAACAGTTCTTCATCAGCCCTCTTCAAGCATGGTTGTTCAACCAGAAAAGAATACATTATTGTTCTCCCCACATTTCTTTATTTTGTCTTAAAAATTTCATGTAACGCTGTCAAAGCCTAGTTGAAATCCTGACACACTCTATGTCATTCTGATTTACCAGTCCGGTAATACTATCAAAAAAGAAATAACATTAGTTTAGCATATACCTCCATGGTATGCCATTTTCTTTTTCAATTTTGCTTCTCCTGAAAATAGAATTCATTGTTAAAATGTGCTAGCTGCTGACTGAATACCTAGCACATATTGGTGCATAATAAAGCTGTCAGCCTGACTAATCATGATTACGAGTACACTACTTGTATGGCCAGGGGGAAATCTAAATTCAGACCTGTTGTCTACACTAGGAGGCTTTCTACTCCCCCTTTTCCCACACTTAAAGTACTACACAACTGTTAGTTATTCTTACTTTTTATTATAGGAACAGGGAAGTTCTAGTTAATTCATATGTCTAGGGAAGAGAGTTAAGCAGAGTAAAAGAATCTCTAGCAACTGAAAAACAGCAACTTAGGGCCAAACTGCTTCTAGCTTCCTCCAACCACTGGAACCTGTACTGTGGATTGGAATGTCTGGGTTTGATGGCGTGTGCTCATTTGGAATTAAAGTCAGACATAAACTTCCTGAGCACCAGAGAAGCAAGCATACTTTGCTAGCACTCAGTCAATATTGTTTTGAATATATTTCAGGAAGAGCTGGGAGCATTCCCTTATTTTTTCCATAAGCCACTATGGAACAGCAAGGTTTATTGATGGTTTGTTGATACTCCTACTTTGAGGGCAAACCTATTCCTAAAAGGGGGGTGGTGAGTTGGGATAACTACAACTAAAATAATTATAAAACAGTAACAGCGTTTCTTTTTAATCTGAAAAAAATATTGGCTGTCAAAAGATAGCTCTTAAGAATCATTGGTTGTCAGGAATTCAGCATAGGAAAATGGGACTTAGCCATAGGAAAGCTGCAAGTCTCATTTAGATTGTAATTCAGAAGCAGACAGCTCAAACTGGTGAGTTATGACCCAGAAGACAGCCACAGTAGAAATTGATTCCGCAGCAAACTAAAATCCAAGAGACTCTGACCAGGC